CTCACCTGAGTTGCGCTGCTTGTACCTGGGTCAGCGGCTTTTACAATCATCACAGAACTACTAACGTCGTCAGGAACTATCACATTTAAGTAACGGAAACTATTTACCTTGTTTTCGCTTTCCTCTAACAAGTTTTCGTCATATGGAAGAATTTTTGTGGAGGGAAGTTCGTCTGTTTAAAAAAATAATATATATTTTAACATCTTTAATGAAAGTAAGCTAAAAAAGTGCGATTAGAACTCAAAGCGACCTCAAGTACCTTCAGTAAAGTCATCATTGTCTAGAAACTGAATAAGGTCCACACTTTCTTCTTTTGCCTTTTTAGACAAAGCTTCACGGTCGTTATCTTCCAGCCTTTCGATTGGATCCAAATATAACTGTACTGGCTAAAAATATTGGCATATTATACAGTTCAACGTGAAATGGGGAAAGTTTAGACAAAAACTAAACAGCCACGATGAAAGGTAGTTTTCAAATGAATACCTCCGGCTTATGTTGTTCAGTTTTCCGCATGCAGAATCTTTTTCCAGTTTCAGTTTCTTCAGCGAGTACTGTCGGGTTACTGGTAAAATTTGCTTCAGTGGTGGTGCAGGTTTGCATAGGATTAGCACTCCATGTCATCATACTCAAGTCAGCTAGCAAAGCGCGGCTATCTATACCCATCGAGTTTCCAATATTCATACTCTAAAAAGAACCGTCTATGCTAAAAATAAGCATAAGCTTCTAAAATACAAAATTTTAGAAATTTTACAAAATTTTACAAATTTTACAAAAAATTACAAATCTCTTTAAAATTGCCGATAGCTAAGGCTTTGCGTCCAATCTTTAACAAGTAACACAAAGTCGCGATGGATCGTGTTAAAATGACAACTATACCAAAGGCATGTTGGTACCGCTTGGAGCGCGTTCTTCACAGACTTCAAGATCATCCCATCCAGCAGCTTCAATGTCGTCCCTAGGAGCAAATAAGTCCGCCTTTTCCTCTGTAATAACCACTATATAAAGAAAAGATAAAACAAAAAAAAACACATAAAAACAGATAAAACAAAACACCAATTAAATGTGTTTAAAACAGAGAGCGTAAGGTTCTCTACAGTATCAGAAAGTCTTTCGCTAGACGGTCCTAGTCGACTCTCAAACAAAAGCTTCAAAAATTTAAATTGGAAAAAAACTCTTATCATTCTGTGGCGAAATGTGGTATAAAAAGCCAGCTCTTTTTATTAAATGACGCATAAAAAGCCAACTCGCTTTTCCAAACAACTCGAGACATAATAAAGCTTACTAGCACATCGTTCATGAACTGTATGCATAAAATCAAAGAGAACGACAGCATCTTCATCTTCTTCATCTGACATATCACCACGCTGTCTCAACGTCCCAGAAGTTGACATCAAACCAACAGTCTCTGTCTAGAAACATCTCAATACAAGATTTAAACGAACTAAAAACCAGTTCAAAGCTACAGTACTACAATACTCACCTCTAAATCATCCAACTTCTTGTCATCTGTTTGTGCTTCCACTGACCCCATTACCTCTTTTCCTAGTTCTGGGTCCCATACTCCTATTTCAAAATCAGCCTGCAAATGATGACCACTAAACAAGTAACCTTGGCCTCTGATTCTTCAAATGCTTTAAAGGTGGGAGCACCAGATTAGTTATACGTGAGATACAGTTGGTAAAAATAGAACTGCAAATTATCCTAAGTCTTCAAAAACTAACAGTATCGTTAACTGTGTCAACTTCAGTCCCTGTTTGTCTTTCTTTGGCTACTTTCTCGTCACTAAATTCAACTACATCAGTTTTATGCGGAAGGAAAAGATTGTTATGTCCATTACTTTCCAAGCATAGCAACGACACCGAAAGAAAAACCGTCCTTTGTTACTACACTAACTTACTGTTCCTTTCTCAAATGCTGAATCTTGTTCACAGGCTTTGGCTCAGCATCATCAAAAGAAGTGGGATAATCTAGGGGAGGCCAAGAATAATTTTCTGGAACGACCGCATCACTTCCCAGAGCTTCTTTTAGAATTGTCTCCCTAAGCTCATCGGCTAGTAGAAGACTGTTTATTCTAAAATACTTATTTTTACCAAAACTTTCGAACGACTGCGTCAATTTCCAAAACTTTTCCAAAATTGTCTCTCTTAGTTCACCCGTCAGTAGGAGACCATTTATCTTGAAAGTACTTCATTTAACTAAAGATACTGCTTATCCTTCAAAAATAATTTCAACTAAAATCCCCACCGGTACAAAAGTGTCGGCAACGCAGCGATAACGTTCCAAAGAGAAGCAGCAATAGGATGTATGTCAACCAATTCAGGGACTAAAATTTGCCCATGCGACGACGGTTGGCCAAATTTCGTATCTGCACTAATTCTTTTTGAACGACTGGCATGACGTGGCATTACAAGGTTCAGCCGCCTTTAAGTTACTGATCTGATAAGTGACAAAAGTAATTTATATTCTGCCAACAAAAACAGGACTCAAGTGAAATCCAGTGTCAAAGCTAATAAAGAAGAGTTTATTTCTAATTTGATGTGAAATTTTTCGAGAACAAAATATGCATTCTTGTGAAAAAAATTCCAGCGGCTTTGGCATGAGGCCACTTTGTCATACGGAGGTAAGTGGAAATCATCCGAGCCACCTCCTTAAAACACGCTAAACTTTTAAATCGCTTGTGTTCATGACTTGTTACCTTCTGTACATTGTTTGTTAATGTTTTATCTCTTTATTTTTACAATTCCTTGCTTTCATTTTTTTCAGTCAAAATGTGAGAGTAAATCTAATTTTTTAATATACTTTTCAATAGTACTACAGTAATAACTTTGTTGAATGCCCATATATTGTACTTTTTGCTTTGATTATCTAATTTACGGTTAAGGTAGTCCATGAAGATGTAGAAAAAATCGATTCTGAAAGACATTTTAATCGACATAGAGGCTCATGAAATTATAGGAGAAATAGTAAGGTTTAAAGAACTAATAACAATAAGTTCCCGATCATCGTTATTCCTTCCTTTTTCAGTTCAGCAATCGCCACTTTTTCACTAATATTTTTTGAAGTTTTCTTATCTAATATGAAACTGTATTTCTCCTCCACCTTGACCAACATGTCCTTCACAGTCAATTTTTTCTAGATCTGCTTAAACTACTCTAAACGTAGATAATATCATCAAAGCAATAACTACGATATATAGGCATCTAACAGAGTTATTACAGTTCCACTATTAAAAGGTATCTGTAAAGATTAAAGTTACTCCCAAACCTTGGCTGAGTAAGGAAATGAAAGTAAGATATTGTAAAAATAAAGAGGTAAAACATCAAAAATCAATATAAAATAGGCAAGATATCATGAACACAAATAACTTAAAAGTTTAACATACCTCAAAGAGGTGGTTCGGGTAACCTCCAGGTACCTTTATATGACAAAGTGTCATTGTGCCAAATCCGTTGAAACTTCTTTCGTAGGAAGGGATAATTCGTTCCCAAGATATCTCACACCAAGTTAGAAATAAACCCTTCAGTATATGGTCAGATGCTGAGAAATGTTTTATCCCATTTTAAAAAAGAAAAATAATATTGAAAAGCCCCACCCTGAAGTATAGTCGACATCCAGTAAAGGTTGGTTTTGATTATAAATCGTAATGTTGTATTTTTGTTCGAAATATTCATTGAAATCACTAAACTTCTCATCAGGAAATTTAGACGAAGGGGTCGCATCAGAAACAATCTGAACAAAACAACATCTATACGGGAGCCACGCAAACAAAAATAAGCAAAGAAATAAGAGCAGAACCTCTGCAACATAATAAAAAACTGGTCTTTCAATGTCCCTGTACCAAGGCATAACGACTGCATCTTGAAACCTATCGTATTCGAAAATAAATTTCTGCCGGTCTACTTCACTTGGAATTCGAGGCATTTTTTCAACTGATTTGACTACATTACACACATAATTATAATCCAAGTTGTAATCAACTTGGCCAGTAAGCTCGTTTTTCTCTGCAAACATAGCAGTATGTTTTAAACCAAGTTTCAAGTCCCAGCAGTCACTATAGGATCGGTTCCAATGTAAAATAAAGAAGAAACATACCACGTCGAAGAGGCACTATCAATGTGCTCACAGAAGCCTTTTCGGGAGCAAATGCTAGGCCACTTTTATACAAACGTAAAACATCGTCGAAAATGTATTGGTGAAATTCTTTCAAATATTCTAACATTTGAGCATCGACACGCAATTTCGACTTCCAAAGTACGACATTCGCCTGCATCCGCCCTTGCCGTAAAAAGACAGGAAAAGAAGGAATCTGGAAAGCGCACGTCGGTAAAGAAAAGAGATATAGATGCTTGTAAAAAATATGATTTAAAAAACCAAATGAAATTTTATAATAAGGGACTTACAGGAGGAGTCTTTCGTTTTGATAAAAATCCGAAACAAAACTCGGAATCTAAAGGGTTAGCAATCTTTCTGTTTTTCGGATTTGCTGGCCCACTGACTGGCTTTATTAATTCCATTTCCATAATGTATACATAACAGTCAGAATCAGGCTCTGGAAGCGCATCATGTAAGGCTTTAGCCATCTGAAAAACGTAACACAAACAGCGTACACAAGCTAGCTGACCAGATAACTCTTCTTCCTCGTCTAACATATGTGTTACTTGATTTAAAAAGTATCTTAATGTACAGATGACTTCAACTGGTGGCGAAGAATGAGAATGACAAAATTTTTACCTTTTTATCATACAGTTGCTTTCTTCTGGCTGAACCTACTTTACTGATATTGGGGACATACTCATCGGGATCATCATCCAAAGCTGTCAGCGTTATTGTATCTTTACCAACTGGCAAAAGATTGTCATCCAATTCCTTTTGACCATGTAGTTGTCTGCAGGCCTACAATACTCTTTCTTAATTTCAAATCTCCCAATGAATAAAACCGTTGTTTAGAAAACATACCTCAAGAGCAACAGCCATCTGGGCCAATTTCTTACTCGGCATAGGAACCGTCAAACATATTTCATGTTTTACTGGAGAGTTAATAGGTAACAGCAGCTTTGCTTTATAAAGAGTTAACCCACATTGCTAAAAAAATAATTGTGCTAATCACACAAATAAATGTTTGTATGTCAAAAAAAAACATTCAAACAGAAATAAAACTACTTTAAAAGTAAAAATTTATGGTATTAAACTAAAAAGGCCCTCTTACTTCTACAGGTATAATAAAACTCTGTGGAGAAAGACGAGTAAAAATATCGCTGGGCAACTTGGCACAGTATCTAGAAATAAACATACTTAGAAATGAAGACAGAGGGAGCAGAAAAGAACCGTTTCGTAAATTAAACTTACGTAAACAAAAAAAGAAACCAATTCAGTAGCACTTAAAATCAGGGATACCTATTGACCAAAGCAACAGCAGTTGACATCGTTACTTGGGCTCCAGTTGAAGGAACTACATATGGTGGTACCAAGTCATCTACGTGAGTCTTGTTTGACAATACGTTATTCGGCGGATTGTGCACAGAATGAAAATGTTCAAGCAGTATCTAAAATCTTTTCCATGTTTAATGGAAAATTACAGCATGCCTATAGAAAAATTAGGTAGAATCAAAGATGAATGCACCTGTTTCACTAGTTTTTACATGAGGTTACATGTAGAAACTAATAAAGCAAATAACTACCTTTTCAATTTCAAGGAAATCTTTCAAGTCTTCTAGGCATTCAGTATATTCGTATTTCTCAACCAAAATAAAATACTGAGCTCCCTCTTTCCTCGCGCGGCCTCTAGACTAAAAAAGAATATGTTAAATCGTCTTTGACAAGTGTCACGGAGGAGCGGCTTAAAAAAACCATTACTTGAATATACGCTCGGTAGTCTAAAGGCCTATCGAAACGAATTACAACATTACATTGTTTAACGTCCACTCCCTCCTCAAGAACACTAGTAGCTACCAAAAGATTGATCTGACCCTGCCTAAATCTGCGTAGCACCTAAAAGTTGCTTTTACTAGTACGTAATGGGCTTTCCAATCGTGCACTGGGCACAAAGCTTTTCAAAAATCGCTCTTCAAAAAGCACAGTCGTGAACAAAGAAAATGCACCTCTTCTTGCCTCTTGTGCAATGCTGTTTCCTCAGAACCAAATCCGGAACTATTGTAACCAATAACAAAATCAGGAACTAAATAGCCAAATTTTTCTTTATCCCACTTTGCTATTGCCTTTATTAGTATCTGAAAATTTAGATAAATTTCATCAATACACAAAAACAGTTCTGCAAATTTCAACCAACACAACAATACACTAAAGTTGTTAAAAATTTTTGTACAAAACTTTTAGTTCATAAAAGAATGGTGTAGTGTCGGAAGAGTAATAATTAATAGGCAATTACACGGCTCCAGAGATTTCTTCATGTAGTTTTCTACTATACCGCCTTCTTTCGGCTATATACATTTATTGCGAGTATTCTTTTGCTATTTTTATTTTCAGCGCTTTGTAGTTTAATGCACTCATTTTTTGCATTTGACTGGTGAACCTACGTGAAAACGTGGTGCTGGAAGTGCTCCTTGCCTTTTATACTCTTGCGTGAATACTGAAATCACTAGTATTTCTTCTCATTAGTTCGGAGCCTACTTGTAGAGGTCATTTTTGAGTTAGATTTAGGCTGAAAGTGTCTCTTTCATGCCGGCAATCGTTGTTAGTCTTCATAACATGCCTTCAGTTCTCAAATCGAATGTGACAGAAAAACAATACTCTCAATCAAAAAGCAGTAATGATTGTGACATATTTTGATTGGAAAGGTTCAATTAGCAATTAAAACGATACAAACCGAGTAAGTAGTCATATTAGTAATGTGTTCTGAAAAAACTCTGCAAAATTGTTAAAAAGTAAATAAATTTAAATAATTTTGTGTAACTGAAGTGGCTGAGTTGAAGAGTTTTACAGAATTACAAATATTATTGAAATCAATAAAATTTCAGTTGAAACAGTCTCTGTAACTAGCGAAGCACCAAAATGCAGCTTCGATTAGAGATTTTTTGCTTTCTGCAGTTACTAATCGCACCGTAACTCTTGATTCCCAAAAGATGTCATCTTGCAATATTTATGTGCTGTGTAAGAAATTTTTTAAAAATATATCTTTTTAAAAAATTTAAAATGTCTTTTTTTTCTTTTTAAAATGTCAAAAAACGTTCTGAACCTTTGTCCCTATTTTAACCCAAAATAAAATTTAATAATGTGAGCTTTTCACATTCTTCAGAATCTGCATGAGACACGCTTCCAAAAGAAGCAAAAATGAGAGAATTTCGTTGCGAATTAAGAAAGCTACAAGTTCTTAAAGATGACCATGTCGAAAGTGAATTACTTTTTTTTTCCGCACTTTAGGACAGTCTAACTTTGCCGCCAGCGCATTTTTTGAGGTAAGCTCTTCCGATTTCAAAATCCGGTATCATTTGCTAGGAGTCGGCAAAAGATGAAAAAAATCTGAGATATGAAGGAAAAAGTATGCGACTTCCCTTCATATCTCAGATTTTTTTAGAATTGTGCTGATCAGTAGAGTCTAGGCCAGTAAACGTAAAGCCGAAAAAAACTTGAAAAAATGAATTCCTCGCCAAGCCACACCCCCTTAAAGTTGCAAAATTTGCCAGATTGCCATTGAACATGTCTAACTTTGCAGACTTGTAATTCAGCTCGTTTTTGATTGAATTTGGTGATTTAGCATGTCCTGCACTTTCAAATGCATGTTTAAACTCTAATTATGTCAACAAGCCGCAAAAATACAAAAAAAACTTCAAACAAATGTGAGAAGAAAACAAAATTTTAAATTTTCTTCAAAAAAATATATCTTCTGCAGAATTTTTTGCTCTACAACATATCAAAATTTGGAAATGACAATTTTTGCGTATCGGGTGCTACGAGCCGGAATAGAATTTAAAACTGAATAGAAATCCACTATTTTTACAGTGATCCCACATATTTTACAGTGGCGAAACCATCCGGAGCCGCTTCTGAAAGTGGCAGCGGGCAGCTGTAAACATCTGGTATGGTTTAGACATTGAAAATCTGCTTAGAAAGTTGTACTTCACTTTCATAATATTAACAGCTTGTTATTCCGCAGGGTTCTAAGGGCTAGTTTTCACTAACGTTTTCTACCTCATGTATTTCAAATTGTCTCCATCTCGTACTTGTTAAAGTTTTGGTTGCACAAGCAAATAGAAGCTCGACTTATTGTTCTTCTTTGAATTTACATGCTGTATTTTTCCGGAAACGTACAAAACTTTAAGAAAGACCTTAAGTGTACAGCTATCCATGTAAAGCAGCAAGTTCTTAGACTTCTTTGCAAAGTCAAAATGGATACCAGCTGTACAGTTTTGGCAGAAAAAAGGTTAATATTATGAAGTAAAGTACGACTTTTAAAACAGGTTTTCAACGTCTAAAGTATACCGGATATTTAAAGCTGCCTGCTGCGACCTTCAGAAACGGCTCTGGATGGTTTCGCCACTGTAAAATATATGGGGTTA